GCCACGTGGACGGAACAACGAGACAAAACCAACCGGGATGCAGACAAAGAGTACAAAAAATACCAACAATTCGACCATAACCAACACTTGAGAAAACGGACCCGTACAGTAGGTCCGTAAGACGATATACCCAACAATGGGGAAGAGCAAAGCAAAAGAAAAAAGAACAAGGATAGAAAGGAGAATTAGAAAAGAGTATATTCTACCATAGCCAAAGAAAGAGCCTGGGTTCAGCCTCCTCATGAGTGGGGGAATACATATATATCGTCAGATTCGTCACATGAATATCAGAGCGCAAAAGCGAAAAAAAGAACAGAAAGAAAACAAGAAAACTATTAATTCCTTTTTTTTATCATCTTCCTTACAACTCCCCCTGTTCAGAACCTCCTCTTGCGTAGAAGGCCGCCCACGTGGATATACGTTGAGCGGCGGCTGCCCCCATATTTGTATAACTGCAGAGGGTTTAGCCTCCTGATGAGTCGGTGAAACTCCGACGAAACAGTCTGTCACATCCCCCTCTTTTTATTCTTCCACTCCACTTCTCCCCCTCTCTGCTACAGTTTAGGGGCCAGGTCTGCATTATGATATATGGACATATTTATCGTCACATATACACATACATATATGTTCAGCCTCCTGATGAGTGGGTGAAACTCCGACGAAAGACACTGTCACAGTCCCTCGTTTGTTGTCCTCTTCTCCCGCGAGTCCTCTCCAAACCGTACGAGATAGTCTCTCCCTGCGATTTACCAGGGAGCGATGTTTGACGATTTAATATATAAATATACATGCATATATACATACAAATATGTTCAGCCTGCTGACGAGTCGGTGACACTCCGACGAAACAGTTGGTCACAGCCCCTCGTTTCCTGTTCGGACGTCAACTGCTGACGCGTAAGTCTTCCCTGCAACCGTGCTGGAGTGGGCTGAATGTCACGACCCTGGTATGGCTTTACTTCTCAAGACCCTGGTATGGCTTTACTTTTCAAGACCCTGATATGGCTTTACTTTTCAAGACCCTGGTATGGCTTTGTTTTTCAACACGGGGTCACTGCTGCAGTGGTTAAAAGACATCCGGCTGTTATGGCCGAGGTCAACGGTCCGATTCCGTCTACCTGCGGATCGATCAGGGCTACACCGACAAAGACTACCTACAGTTCTCTACGACGATATATGGTACAAACTGTGTACTTTATTTGAGACACTTCTCTTCAATGATACACAGTACAGACTATGTACTTCATAATCTAAGTTACAGACTGTACCCACACACTCGCCCACTTTTTTTTGTGGAATTGAACATGACAACAAACACTCATTTTGCATTATATCACACACACACACACACACACACACACACACACACACACACACACACACACACACACACACACACGCACACGCACGCACACAAACACAAACGCACACACACGCGCGCACACTCACGTACGCACGCACAGAGGTAAAGAGTAAACTCGCACATTCGAAAGGAAGAGAACATGAACACGCGAGCACCATCACACACACACACACACACACACACACACACACACACACACACACACAGAGGTACGGAGTCAGACTAAACGCGTAAATGCAAAGAAAAGAGAGAAAACGAACATGCCCAACTACTGGCTTTCTTTTTTATTGGCTGCATGATTTAGTTCGATGAGGAACGCAAGGAGAGAAGTAAAGTCCACCTTCTTCCCCCAAAAACAACGTACGGTCATTATGGCTGTATTTGGAGCATCTTTCAGTCTAAACACAGCCATAATGACCGTAATACAGCCATAATGACCGTAATACAGCCATAATGACCGTACGTTGTATTCGGGGGAAGAAGGTAGAATCAGACCAACCAGTTCCATGTTTCAATCATTCGCCAAGAAATCTGAGACTCCCAGTTTCCAGAGAAAAGAGACCTGCGTTCAGAAAAGAGGGGCGCCGGGGGGTGTTGAAGGGGGGAGCGGGGGGTGAAAGAGGTGGGGGGGGTTGGAAAAAGCAAAAGAAACAGACGTGAGGCTACCGTCCTCCCCCGAGCACAACGCACCCATACGAATAACTCGCCGACATCCTTGATAAGACAGACAGCTCGTCTACATCCATGCCACAGGGACAGGCATATGCATGATGAGGGTGTTTTGTATACGGGGGAGGACGGGGTGGTGTATCCACTCTATGATCTCCACTCGAGGAGGGAAGGGAGAGGGAGAACGTCAAGGAGGAGTATAAAGTACAAAAAACAACGGGGAGGAGCTCTCCCACTACCGGTCGCAAAGGGTTGCTGCGAATCAATCAACCTCTTCACAAGTCGATGAATATAATTTTATTTCGAAACCGATTTCACTGAACAACAGTTACAGTTCGAATTGCAAAATAATCCTCACCATGATTTCAGCGTTCCCACCACCCACAATGAGGGTACGCTTAATATCCTCCGGCTATGGCGCTGCTGGTCCCCCCTTGTGGTTCGGCTATGGCGCTGCTGGTCAAAGATCCGGCTATGGCGCTCCCGGTTTGAAAAAAAACAAAAGCAGCTACGTCGACGAGGAAGAGCAGTGTTGACGACAACAGTTACGGGCCCCGGCGGGACTCCGACCGATCACAACGACAACAGTTACTGGCCCGGTCGGGACTCCGACCGATCACAACAGCACCAGACACGACGGCAAGTCGTGGAGCGGTGTTGACGGCCAAAAAAAAGACAAGTACATGCGCGCAAGACACCAGCGCTGCCTGCCACGTGTGCAGCAGCCCCTACTTCGCCGGCCGCTCCGAGTTGCCCGGGCGCCCGGGCGCTCCTGCGACGTGTCGATCTCCTACCGTGGTTGGCCCGGCTCTCTCTCTCTCTCTCTCTCTCTCTCTCTCTCTCTCTCTCTCTCTCTCTCTCTCTCTCTCTCTCTCTCTGTGCAAGCCGCTTCTATGCGTCTCTCTCTCTGCGGGAGGGCAGACCTCCGCGATGCGCACAGCAGGCAGCGTTCATGGAGGCAAACATACAGCCTTGTCCAAGCCGGGAGCTCGCCACTACGTCGGAGTGAAGTCGAGGTCGACGCGACGTCGAAGCTCGAAGGATTGAAGTCGACCACGGCGCACACTCGAATGGGAACAGGAAGTTATGGCAGGCGGGGACCTTGGCGCTTACGCGAGGTCGCGCTCATGAACTGGCGACAAAAAAAATTCGAGGCCGCGTGTGGACTCGCGTGTGGACCCAAGTTCCACACGCACGTCATCGAAGGGGAGGCCCACCGCCCCACCGGAGCGAGACATTGGCACCGAGGCCTTCGTTCGGCCGCACACCCCAGGATGTGGGACGTTGGTGACTTGTGGGCGGGGGCTAGGTCCCATCTGCACCGTGTAGTTGTACTTTATTACAACTGTGCGACACCGTGGGTGTGGGCGGGAACTGGAGGAACTCGAAGCGGCAGCGGTTTGTGGACGGGGGCTAGGTCCCATCATCACGTGAACCAGGGTTTGTGGAAGTGCCGCGTTAGTCGACGGTGATTCACGGGTGGGGGGTACAGTTGTATGGCTCCTCGCCTCTCCCTCTGTATGTGTGCGGATTGTATGTCAAAGTTCAAGTGGGCCTTTTTTTGGTATTTGG